ATACTCATGTTCTCTCAAGTCACTATTTCTCAACAGAAACAAGCTTTGAACTAATGAAATTATTTTGCACTACTCTTCCACGACCTCTTCTTCAGTATCATTTAGATGAAAAGTAGGAAAAGAAGAAGCCTCACAAAGGACTGAGAAGAATAAGTTATGAAGTTGCCTGTGATAACCACAGATACAACATTGTCATAATTTGTTTGCTTACTCATTTATTATTTTGCTATGTTTCCCCGATGACTTATTCTATGGTGTTTGTTTAACAATGAATTTTGTTTTAAAAAAATACAGCTCCTAAGGGTTCCAACTAGTTGAGTTAATTAAAACGTTTCTTGAGATGAGGTCAAATATGTGTATGATTGTATAGTCTTGCAGAACTTTTGATGAATGCTCAGTGTATATGGCAGCAGGTATCTCTTTGTTGAGGAACAACTGGAACTCCTAGTTGATCTCTTTGTAGACAGACTCATTTGTTATTGACTCATTTGGTACTTTGAATTCTCTCTACCACCATACTTTTAAAAAGTAGGGCAATTCATTAGTATCTTTGTCTGCTCTTTATTAAAACAGTTACTAGAACCACCCCTGATCATAAACCTGGATCTGGCGTCACCCACATTAAGAGGATAAACTAAATGACATAATAACTTAAAATGATCATCATCTATCTTACAGGCACTCAGCTAATTCTCAGTCACAATTGGACATAGGTATGAATATCTGTTTATAACTCTTTATTTTTTTTGTCAGTCGTGGGGCTTGAACTCTGGGCCTGGGTACTGTCCCTGAGCAATTCGGCTCAAGGCAAGCACTCTACCACTTGAGCCACAGCGCCACTTCCTAATTCTTTAATTTTGATGCTGACAACTGAACCCAGGGCCTTGGGCATTCTATCTCTAATCCTATATCTATTTTTACTTTAAAGGAAATTGATATTCAGCAAGTTTTTGCTACCTATCTCAAATACCAGGGTACTAGAAACTAGGATTCATGTCCACAAATTATGTTTTTTAGCTCAAGCTCCCTCTAGGAAATACAATTTTGAGAATAAAATTGATACAACCTCAGATCCCCAAGGTACCTGACAAATAACGGATATTTGGAAACTAAGCACTGAATAAATGTTTTTAACCCTGTATATATTCTGAGTGAAGAGACGTACAGGCAGATTTCCCACAGAAAAGGAACTAATGCTGGATTTCAAATCCAAGTGAGTTTGTTTATGCAACGGCCTTTCACAGGCAATAAGCTTCTAGGCAACCCAAAGGAAAATGCAGAAAACAATCTCGAAGCAACAGTTTTTCTTAGATTCTACATGCATACCAAACACTTGAAAATCATTTTAAGTGAAGACTATGATTCCATAAGAGGCTGATTTTTTTGGCAAATTCAAATAGCACATACGCTCCCTGTGCACAGAATTACATTAGCAAAGTTTTCGAACATGGCAGTTTAAGAGTAACAGTACTGAGAACCAAACACAATACTTGGTCCAGTGTACAGACCAACATTCTGAGATGGTCTGAACAGTACCACTGAGGAGTGAAGAATGCTTTCTAAAAGAAAGAATGTACCTGCAGGAAAATATACCACTAAGACCAGGCAAGATGTGTAAGGAAAAGCTAATGTGAGGTTTAAGAATAGTTTGAAAATCAAAGAAAGTCAAAATTGTGTGCCCTTTGGTTTACACTCCAACAGACAGGAACCCATCATGCAAAACCTGCATGGCAATCTATCAGTGCACTTACGGCCAACTCCCTCTTGCTGCATAATGAATCCAACATTTCTGAGTGGAAATGGTAGCTTCGCTTTTAGAAAGGATTGTAACATTGTAATTCTTAATTATAGCCTGCAGTTTCAAACTTTCCTTACTTGCCACAGAAAGTTGGAGCAAGAATGTAAAAGGGTGAATGCTAAAATAAAAGATAGCAATGAAGAAAATAGAAAAGTCATTAGCATATCAATCCTGAAATAGCAAATGCCCTATGCAATAATGATTTTTTTAACTCAACTTGACTATTTATCTCATTTCCTATCTATTATATTATTTTATTGCATTGCTAACTCCTAATGCTAATTTAAAAAACAAAACAGAATACAAGAGATCAGACAGACATCAGACCCCCCCTCAAAAAATGGAAAAGAAAGATAAACTGTCAACTCAACTGTAATTTCAATAAGCCTCTCCTATGTAGTACTGAGGAAGTCTAATGATTTAAGATCTTACAGACTAGTGGCTATTAACACATAAGTGCACTTCAATTGACTTCTGATTTTGTCTAATGAGGAAAGGGCCTGCCATGTAATAGCTATTAACATGTTAGAACATTTCCAATTGACTTCTGATTTCAGGTCTTGTTTTTCAAATACATGCATAAAGGAATAGATATGAAATTATGCTTCCAACCCTCCATCAAGGAGAAAGAGTTGGAGTTACTTGTCTAATAACTAGTACTTGTCTTTGCTAACACTTGTCTAATAAAAAAATTGTAGTCAGTTACTCATTTTTTTCTCATCTGAATTTTGATGCATGATTATATTCTATGAAGATATAGCAGAAATTTTTTGTGTTTTTTGTAATGTTTATTGTTTCTTTCTGTTCCATTGACATATTTAACACACCAACTAAGCAGCAAGAGTTTAGAATTATATACCAGACATTTCTTCATTTGTGAGCAGTATTTATATTCTTTTGATTTTCTTTGACATTTATGACTAGCAACAACATCTCCCTTTTTATTTATGCTTTATGGTTCTCAAATTTATTTACTCATTTACTAAATTAGTGAATTATTTTGCTAATCTCTAGATCTTTCATATGGAGAGGTAAGGCTAGAGGTGGAGAGCAAGAGCAGAGTTAGTTATACATCATCTTGTAAGGTTTTTTTTGGAAATTTGGTAATTACTTAGAGAGTTATAGGAACAATTCATGAGGTGGGGTTTTTTGTTTTGTTTTGTTTTGTTTTTATCGATTGTGGGGCTTGAACTTTTGTTCAAGGCTAGAGCTCTACCACTTGGAACCACAATGCAACTTCTGGTTGCTAATTTGAGATAAGAGTTTCATGTCTATTTTTTTAAGTTTTCTGTACCCTTTGTATTGTGTATAAGTTTATCTGATGTGCAGAAGAAAAAGGGAATCACAGAAAGAGCAGGAAATAGAATGAAGTAATGCAACAATGATACTAGACACTATTTTGGAAATGAACTTCACAACTTGGAGGGCAGGAGAGTAGAGAGAGGGAAGTAGGAGAAAAGGAGGGAGGTGGTAACAGTGTTCAAAAAAGTACCCATTACCTTAGTTATGTAACTGTAACCCCCTGTTCATCACCTTTACAATGAAGAAGGATGAAGAGGAGGAGGAGGAGAAGAAAAGGAAGGAGGAGGAGAAGAAGAAAAGAAGGAGGAGGAGTCAGAGGAGGAAGGGAAGGGAAGGAGAAGGGAGAAAGAAAGAACAAAAGAAAGAAAGGAAAGAAGGAAGCAAGGAAGGAAGGAGAAAAGGAAAGAAGGAAGAAAGAAGGAAGGAAGGAAAGAAAGAAACAAAGAAACAAAGAAAGAAAGAAAGAAGGAACGAAAGAAAGAAAGAAAGAAAGAAAGAAAGAAATAAAGAAAGAAAGAAACAAAGAAACAAAGAAAGAAAGAGTTTCATGGACTTTCCTGCCCAAGCTGGCTTTGAACTATTATCCTCAGATGTCAGCCTCCTGAGTAGCTAGGATTACAGGTGTAAGCCGCCAGCACCCGACAATTGATGAGGGTCTTTTGTTATTGTTTTTGTTGTTGTTGTCTACCCAAAATTCTTAATTATATTTTAACTTTTTATTTTATTGTAAAGATGATATACAGAGGGGTTACTGTTATGTAAGTAAAGTAATGAGTACATTTCTTTTTTTAGTAAGTTTTTTATTGTGAAAATGCTCTTTTGAGAGGTTACAATTACATGAGCAAGGTAATGAGTACATTTCTAATCAAGCATTGTTTCCTCCTCCTTTGTTTCCCCTACCATCCTTTCCCTCCCATCTCCACAACTATATCCCCCCACCCCCGCCGCCTAAATTGTAAAGTTTGTTTTTCGACATAGCATCTTGACCCATTGCAACAATGAGAGTACATTGCTTTTTGAACAGTGTTACTCCCTCCCTCTATTTCTCCTGCTTTTCCCTCCCCTCTAACTCCCCAACCTCCAAGTTGTAAAGTTAATTTCCAATATTGTGTCTAGTGAATATCACTGTTCCATTGGTGAGTTTGAACACTGAAATGGCACCTTCTTTCCTCTGGCACGGTTTTCCTGATCTTTTATTTTTTCCTTCTCTTATGTAAACCCCTTAAGCAGTGACTTTCTAATATAGTTTTGCATTTATACTTCCTAGCTATTTCCAATATACAAATTAAGTTTTTTAATGAAACAAAAAATGTAGCCAATTATACATAAATATCTTCTCTGGGAGACAAAGAGCATTTATAAATAAAGATATCTTTGAAATGATTTGTGGGAAAATGATACCTGCTATAGGTAGAATCATTCTCTGTAAATTATAGTTTGTCTGTAAGGAAATGAAAAGGGAACATATTGTGGAGAAATGTTTTGTTGCTACTTAGGTTGTAAGAATAAGCCTCACTTATGGTCAGATCTGTAGAATAAAAATAGTTTCAAATATATCTGATCTACAAATGTTTGCCTCTGTCAATAAAGGTAGCTTCCTTTATTTAGGAACATGTGTGTGTGTGTGTGTGTGTGTGTGAGAGAGAGAGAGAGAGAGAGAGAGAGAGAGAGAGAGAGAGAGAGAGAGAGAGAGAGAGAGGGAGAGACAGGGAGAGAGGGAGAGATATGATGTTTCTGGTGATTCTTTTTTAACTTCTATGATACTTTTTTTTCTTCTTTTGGCTTTGTTTTGCATTAATAAAAGAGAAATCATCTAATTTACTGGATACCCACCTGGTTTCAATTGCTTGTTTTTCATGGATTTAACAATGAAAGACTGATAATGATGGTATTTTCCCAGGAGAAGAAGTGGACAGACAGCTGTGCAGAGATGCCATCTTCCCCATCCCTGTGGCCTGTGATGCCCCGTGCCCAAAGGACTGTGTACTCAGCGCATGGTCTACATGGTCTTCCTGCTCACACACCTGCTCAGGAAAAACAACAGAAGGGAAACAGATACGTGCGCGTTCTATTCTGGCCTATGCAGGCGATGAAGGTAAGGCTGCTAGCTTCAGAAAGGAGTTAGGTTTCTTTTCCAAATTGACCTACATTATCTCTATTTAGTCTCAATGAAATGACACAGTATGATACTCACTAGATACTATGTTGGAAATGAACTATACAACTTGGAGAAGGAAGGATGTTAAGGGAAAGGACTTGGGAGTGGAAAACCTGGGAGAAATGAGGGAAGGGGTGACACTGTTCCCCAAGAAAAGTACTCAATACCTGACTTATATAACTGTAAACCGTCTGTACATCACTTTTACAATAAAATTTCTAAGAGAAAAAGAAAATCAACAGGAATATTACTCAATATCTGTACATGTGGTAGACATGTTCTGTTCCCCCAAATTAATTATGGGATACATCTTTAATAAAGGAAAAAGATATAAAAGTGAACTCATATTGCTTTATCTCCTAATAATTTTCCAAGTAATTAAAATTTGTGTATTCCAACGTGTTAAGCCTGCAAAAAGTCTGAAAATAGCTCCCAACATTTCACACATTTCATTTTTTTCTCTATTTCAGTAGTTGTATTCCTTGCAGTCACATTTTGGCACTAAAAGTCATATATGTTCACAAAGAAAATTTATTTCATGTCAACACCATCATGGCTGTTGCCTGACTGATATTTATAAAGTATTCTCTACCATCCATACTTTTGCATGTAAGCTCTGAGATCCATAGGGTCTCATGCAATGATGGTGTTTTCTTTTAAAATGTGTTGCTTCTAGGTCACTTCACGCCACTGAGTAAAAAAGGCATGTTTGTCAAGTATCCATACATACTTTGCAAGTCTGTTATGAAGAAATACAAGGCTCTTATTATCTTTCAAGCTTGTCACAGTGCTAATCTGGCCTCTGTATTACTGGGAGAGATAATGTCAAACATATTTTTGTCACTATTCTGTAAAATAAGAAGAAGTGAGAAAATATAGATATAACTCAAGTTCTTTCATATTCAGCATATCCTATCTCAAGACTATAGGTTTATACCTATGGGGTATTGTCAATCTAATGGCCCTTTTGTTTATTGACATTTAATACTGATTATATTTTTATTTCTTGTTAGCATACATCTATGAATACACAATCAATTTTGAGGGATTGTATAAAATCTATGCATTTAAAATTCTTTTTTGTTTATGAAATATTTTAACAATAGTTACTTGATAGTGGTTTTTAAGCAAACTTACTGTGTATGAGTAATTATGCAGGCATGTAATTACCATGACCTTTCCACATGAGGTTTACATCAGCAAAAACATTTTCATGTAAAAATGTCAGCCTATGGAAAAATATTCCCATGTATCTTTTTTTCAAGGTTAAGTACAAAAGTTTATTTTATGGGTTATTATTTTTCATGCATTTTTATTGTAATTATAAAGGTGAGGTACAGAGGGGTTACAGTTATATAAGTCCTACAAAGAGTACATTTCTCTTTTGAACAATGTCACCCTTCCCTCACTCTTTCCAGTTCTTCCCTTGGTCCCTACCTACAACTTGGATAGTTCATTTTCAACAGTGACTAGTGAATACCACTGGTGCATTTGAAATTATCTTAGAAATTTTTCATAGATGCTTCTTCATAGAATCCCAAACTGTTTTCCTATTTTCTTAAAACCAGTATAATTGCTTGTTCTAAAAAAGTTTCTAGATTCTTTTAAAAGTAGAAACTTCAAAAGATAATTATATTCCCTGTGTTGTCAAACAATAACTTGAACCTTATCTAGATGATATTGAGACTTCAAATTCTATCAGCTCAGATTATGTCTTGTGGTTCATTAAAATTAGATCTGTGGTCACCCTGCTTCCTGTAAATCCATTATACTCTGCAGACACTTGCTGTGTGACTAGTAATGAGTGACTTTTCACCCCCAGAGTCACATGGCAAGGATTTTGCTTGGCTTGCAAAAACTTGATAGATCATTATTTCTACAGACAAATGCTTCACACGGAAAGGTCATGAAATGTTTCAGAAGCTGAAATTTATGATTGTCCTCTGATAGGTATCATACACTTAATTTGAAAGGGTAGGAATTCAATAATTTTTAATTAAGTCTAGTAGCTACATCATGAGCAAGTCATGCTAGAAAATCATCTATGTTCATGAAACAAATCATATAAGAACATGAATTCAAAATACAGTTTGAGATAGAATCCTTGGTGGAATTTTTATCCTAAGAATGTGCCATTCTCTCTCTGTTAGCAGTATTTTCAAAAACTACCATGTTTGTATAAATACTTATTACAGAATTAATCCCTCCCACATATTTATTTAATATCTATTACTTTCTGGATGTTGAAACACATTTTATCTTAGTATGAATAAGACTTTTAGAAGTTCAAGCTAGGGTTCCTATGATTTATGAACTAAATCTGTAGGAAGTTTAACTTTTGTTTGCTTGCTATTAGATTATGTGTATAATTCTACACAATAGTAGGTCTATTTTTCCTCAGAATTTAATGCCTTTCTGTTACAAACATTATTGATTTTCCAAAGATAATGGTAATAACTTTAAGAAAACATACCACCAAAATGGTATGATAGAGTTTTAAAACATAGAATTATACAACAAATTTCTGTTGAAATAACATAGAGGTCAAGTACATATGCAAATTTTATCTGGATTTACAAAGTTGCAAACGATATTTTATCTTGGTTGTAATATCTTAATTGAATATTATACTGAAGGTTATATAATATTGTGTTATTATTAAAGATAAGTTATGTTACACTGTACTTGTACTGATAGCCCAAAAGGTCAATAGATTAAAAGAGTAGGAGTTAATTTCTTCTTCAAAAGAATTTAGCCACAACTTTGGAATTTAGCTGTCACCATATGCCAGAAATAGAGGATGCTTGGAGGGTCTATTTATTTAAGAGAAGAAATTAAATCATTCCACCTGAAAGTGATTTTTTTTTCATTTTTCATAATTCATTTCATTAAAAAGTTACACTATCTGGGTAGCGCATGCCTATAATCCTAGCTACAGGAGAGTGAGATCAGAGGCTTGAAACTGACACAGGCAAAGAAGCTCGTGAGACTCTTATCTCCAATTGAACACCAAAAAGTCAGAAGTGGATTGTGTGTGCGCACACATACACACGCGCGCACATACACACAGTCATACAGTTATGAAAGACTTCAAGAAAGAGAAAATATAATCCTACCATGTGTTAGACAAAGAGGAATCATTAACTACCAGTTTTAATGCTAAATTACTCGGTCTTCTCATTATGAGTCTGTGTATATGTATGTTTCTACATCTTTATCTACATCCATACATGCATTTTAAAATACTTCCAGTACCTTTCACTCAATAAATAAAACAGACCTCTTTGTTCCTCTTAAACAAGTAATAAGGGCTAGGAATGTGGCTTAGTGGTAGAGTGCTTGCCCAGTGTTCATGAAGCCCTGAGTTCAATTCCTCAGTATCACATAAACAGAAAAAAAAAAATTGGAGCTGTGGCTTAAATGGTAGGGCACGAGTCTTGAGCAAAATAAGATCAGGGATAGAGCCCAGGCCCTGAGTTCAAGACCCAAAACTGACAAAACAAAAAACAAATGATAAAATAACAGAATGCTGTTTCTTCTTTCCCATACTAGATATTTTTATATCCATTTCTTTCCCTATTTCCTTCTTTCCTAAGCTATTCACCTCCCTGAATAATTCTATCCAAAAGTCATTAGTTGGATACCTGTGCCAGTTGATGAGGGGAGATATAAAGTGGCTCTAGGTGAGTTTTCATAGCCTAGTCTGGAAAAGCGTATCCAAGAGGCTGGTCTGGCATGAAGTTTCAAGTGTCTGAGTAGTGTGAAGGAGGATGTGGGAACATGGGTTGTATGAGAAGGCAGAAGGACAAGATGTCAACACACAGCAGAGTATGGGAAGAAGCTCAGCATTGACTAGAGAAGCCAGCTTAGGATGCATGTCAGAGGCAGGCAGGTGGTAGATAAGATGTCTGAGCCTGAGCACAGTGATGACTGTACCCTGTGGGTACAGAAATGAAAATCACAGTGGAAGGTTATTAAGAACAATTTAAAAGAACAGGAATTAGCTTGACCTCCATGGCTCATGCCTATCATCTGGTTTCTTGGGAAGCTGAGATCTGAAAGAACTTGATTTGAAGCCAACCCAGGCAGAAAGGTTCACAAGTTTTTATCTCCAAAAAAACAACAAAAAAGCAAGGCTGGATTATGGTGGAAAGTGCTAAAAATAGCACATTTTTAATACTTAAATCTGATATAAATTTATAGTTATATAAAGGTTAACTGGGTATAATTGGCTCAAGAGTGTAATCCTATTATTCAGGAAGCTAAGATCTGAAGATCACCATTGGAAGCCAGCTCAAGAAGACAAATCTGTAAGTCTCTTATCTCCCATTAACCAGCAAAAAGCCAGAAGTAGAGGCATGGCTCAAGTGGTAGAGCACCAGTTTTGTACCTTAAACCACAAAGACAAGCAAGAGTTCAAGCCCTGGTACTGGCACAAAACCTTAAATAATAAAATAAAATGAAAAGGTATGTTGAATTTAAACCAAAAAAATTAAGATTTGATTTTAGATTTTTATCTGTTTTAATTTATGAGCATTTAGGCAAGTATTCAAAAAATGCCTGATATAAAAAGGGAAAAAAAATGTTCAAATTGATTTCCACTCATTATAACTTCTGAATTCTCATTATCTCAACATTAATTACAAAGTAAAAATGACAGATTTATTTTTACAAAGTTCAGAATGACCTGATATAACTTCATCAGCCAAATAGCAATGTGCTGTTTTGCTTGACTTACGGAAAGAACAGATGCAGATTGAAATAAAATTGGGCCAATTTTTCTCAAATAATTAGTAGTCTTCAAAAAGTATAGTTTAACAATGAAAACATGGAGTAATATTTCTGTTTTAACTCATTCATTTTTAGCTGTAGATAAATGATTTTAATTCTAAGATCTCAGGAGTACCCAGACTTCTTAGAGAAATTCTGGAATCCAAGGTCTTGTATATGTACGTATGTGTGCTTACATATATATACACATACTCATTCCTAACTCTGGTTTCTAAGCACATTCTAGTGCTTCCTCATATCCTCACTGTTGACCTTAAAAGGCACTCTTGCTTCTGTCTTTCCCTACGTGTCCACCATGCAGGATTTATGTAAGCAGCAGAAGAGAAAGTCTCCCACCTCTCTGCAAGGAGGAAAGGGGTGGGGGAGGCATTCATCAGCAGACTCCCTTGAGTGCTCTGGTGCTAATTCTCTCTGTTTCAGTTCTCCCAAAGCATGCCCTTGCTGATGATGTGCTATTCATCCAGCTGCGGTCTGCAGTCAAAAGGACTTGGGCTACAGCACCAGGCACTGTTACAAGCAGTTTACAACCTATTTATATATAACATTTCCTAGGTCCCTTTTCTTATCCTTGCTGCCGGTGACTTTCTTGCAAGAACTCCACAGGTCATGTGACTGTACCAATATTGCTCATTCCAAAGGTCATACTTACTTGCATGCCTTTAATTCCTTTCTTTCTTTTTTTTGTTTTGCATAGATAAAATGTTTGTTTCCTTCTCTACCGTATGAGAACTCTGCTTCTCAACATCCTGCTTTCAAAATTATTTCATTGCCTTTTTCTTCCTGAGACATTTTTTTTCAGTCTCTAAAAAGTAATGGAATCTTCTTTCAATCCTAATTATACCTAATCTCTCTCTTTTTTATTGTAATTATCACATCACATTTAGAATCATACTCATTTATATGTTGGTCTTACCCCCCACTCTATTGCCTTTCCTCCCCATAATATAACATTCTTAGAATTAGAACAATTTCTAGCCTCTCTGGTGTCCTATGAAGCATCGTGCCTAAGCACTGCACACCACACTTAATACCTATGTCTATTTGAAGAGGATTCTTTATTTTATCCTGTATTGATTATAAAGATATCAGTATCAGAACCAGAAATATTATAGTTTTCATCAAATGCATGCTAGCAAAGATTTTATGAGCTCTATGTGGGAAAGAAAAGTCATGTTTTCTCTCCCAAGAGAGGAGTTTCACATAATAGTCAATATTTTTATCTGAGTACAAAAGTGTACATACTGGAATTATTTACAGTTCCATATGTCCTTCCCCTTTGATGAAGTGCTAGAAAATCTAAATCATTGTATTAGTACAAAGCGAGTAACACTAAGTGGCAGAGTGCCACTTCCCATTTTCTAGTGGTTAATTCGGAGATAAGAGTCTCATAGACTTTCCTCCTTAGGCTGGCTTTGAACTGTAATCCTCAGATCTCAACTCCTGGTTAGCTAGGAATATAGGCTTAAGCCACTAGCCCCTGGCAAGAGAGGATTTTTGAAAATATACTTATTGCAAATTCTGTTTTTATAATTTTATAATTTCTCCAGGACTAGAGGAATATTCCTAGATGTCTGCATTAGAACTTCACCGAAATAACTGATACATTAAATAATATATTTATCAATGATTCCCCAAATAGCACAATATTATAATATCTCATTACTTCAAACAACACTTAAAATTTGTTATAATTAAGATCACATTTAGGCTTATCCATGCAAATATCCATGCAAATATCTTTCCTAATCCTAATGTGGATTAGGGCAAGAAAATAAATAGGTTTCTGTCTATAAACTTAACAGCTATTTTGCAGTTCCTCACACATTATGCTGGTGTCAAGCTTTTTGTCCTTATTATTTTTTTCCCCAAAGCCAGCTAGCCAATTCCATTATCAAAAACAATTCAGAAAAAACAAATCACAATTGCAAGAGCCTGCCTGTATGCTTAGAGTAAAAAATGTAGGTAAATAAACATACTTTCTGTAGATCAATAATTTCACTATAAATCATAATTGTTCAAAAAATTATCCATATATAGAATTTACAATTTACTTGAGTTTGAGAGGTCAACTTGAACAAATCCAGCAACTCATTATGGGCAAGAGCTCTGTTCATTTACTTCTCTCCAATACCTGTAATATGTTTTAGCATTCATTCCCATTCGAATTCTAAACAAATTTACTGGACTTCCTGAGCTAGAAGATGGCATACATTTGCACCTTTATATAAGCAAAAAATGTCAGTGAAACCCTATTTAATGAGGGTAATTCCGATGCTGAGACCACTTAGTGCTGCATAAATGACTGACTTATTCACGGAAGGAGGGAGGTCCTTAAACCCTAAGGGTTTTATGGGTGCATCAGTGGTATCAAATATTAATAAAATGAGCAACAAGTTCTTCTGATATCTGACATTTAAGAGCTTAAATATTTTTACTTTCATAATTGGCTTCAAAAATAGCATTGTGGTAAGAAACTGGGATTCCTCAATTCATCATTACTAAGGGGGGGGGGGGTCGCATCATTTAAACTGTTTGCTGATCCACTAATATTTTTTACCTCATGTGACAGTTGTAGACACAGAATGAGGCTCTTCCTATGAATGGGGCCATACTTATTTATAATGGGACTACTATGTAAGAAAGTATTCCAGAATGATGATTCCATAGTGCATTTTATTGATTAAAAGGTGCATGCAATGCCTTATGATATCTCTGAAGTTATTATAACTTATATTTTACATGTTTTTAAAACTACTGTAGCCAAGCAATAGTTATGACATAGTTGTCATTGCTTATATATATGAACTTTATAGTTCCTGCAGGAAATACCAAGTCTATGATGTTTCTGCCAGTAACAGGCAATCAAAAATAACTAAAGGCCATTTGAGGAAAGAAAATAAATCCTAGTTTCTTGCTTAAGACTTTCATTGACACCTTCTGGAGCAATTAAGAATGCAACAGCATCAACCCAATAGACAAGTATCAGTAACTGCAAGAAAACTCTGGGATAAACAAGTCTTTTAAATCTTTACAGAAAGAAAATATTTTGCCATAGGGAGAGCCTCTCCCAAAGAACCAAAAAAGAAAAATGAAAAAGACTTGAATTGTAACAGGTACATAAACTGCCTTTTCTAAAAGGCTCTTTGTTTAGGCCTATAAATTAACTAAAAGCCCTGAGGGGGTAGGAGGGTTTGGGAAGTGGGGAAAACTTGTCATTCATTCCTGCCTTCATTTTTGCATCTGCCTTTATTCCAAACCATTTTAGATTCTGACAAAAAACGATGGTACTGATGATTATATTTTTATGCCCAAAATCAAGGTCCAAACTACCTTTAAGGACCAGTAGAATCTTGAAGGACAGATTCTATACCCAAAAATGGATGAATATATACTGATATTCTGTATTCCCATAGCTATATACTCAAAATAAAACTCCTTCCTCTATACTTCAAAAAATTTTGTGGTACCAACATTCTTGATGTCACAGATGATAAAATGTTGAAGGAGAACACAAACTTCAATAAGTAGAAACTAAAAAAAGTCACTCAAAAAATTTGAGAAGGGTTTAGGAGTGGGATATAAGAAAACTAAACAATTAAGTAATTAGAATTTACTTAACTAACCATATAAAAATGGAGTTGAGAAGAAAGCATTGTATGATAATTTAATTTGCAAGCACGCCTCTTTCGTGGGGGGACACCTAACATGGTAAGGTAATGTAGAGCTGATAACTTTCTAGGTCTGAAGAAATAGAATATCATTAATTTTTGGCCCTTTCCAATAATGTATTAAATGGTGATAAATGGTATTTATCTTAACACCTCTGTGCCTATTCACCATAAAGCCTAACACATTAAAGTAGTAAGTATTTTAACATCTGTAATATACTGCAAAAAATAACAGGCAATCAAAACAGGTTATGTAAGCCATGTTTGGAAGCTGATACTAGGTGAAGGGGCAAGGCTAACAGAGGTTGAATGAAGGTGAGTATTTGCTTGTGAGATATAGAACAATGAAACCTGTTGACATTATTTTAAGAAAGGAAGAGAGAGAACTGGGAATGCTTGACCAAGGAATATTGGATGTATCAATGGACATACAGATGGATGGATGGATGGATGGATGGATGGATGGATGGATGGATGGATGAATGGATGGATGGATGGATGGATGGATGGATGGATGGGTATGTCACAATAAGACTCCCTTTGTGCAACAAAATCTATGCTAATAAAAACTCTTTAATGACTTTTCACTTAGATAACATTTGAAAACACACTGTGTTTTCTTCATCCAGAGAATCTCAATGTGTCTGTTTCTCTGGTTAGCAATTAACAGGCTTCATTGAACCCCAAGTTGGATTTCTGTAGGGAAATTGAAATGGTCTTTCTTTAAGGCCCTCCATAGCTTTCAAAATCAAATAAAATTTAGACCCCATTGCATTTGTATTTTAAGCTAGCTCATGCCGCATGAAGTAAGATTAAAATTCAATTTGTCTTCCAACTGGGTGCTGCTCAATAAATAGCAGGTCATTTATTGATAGGTTATTTCCAGTGAACAATAAATGGTAAGGTTACAGTTGACCCTAGGTCTAATCTGTTACCATTGTCCCATTTTATAGGAGGAGTCCGCTGTCCCAACAGCAGTGCTCTACAAGAGGTGCGCAGCTGTAATGAGCATCCGTGCACTGTGTACCACTGGCAAACCGGTCCCTGGGGCCAGTGCATCGAGGACACCTCAGTGTCGTCCTTCAACACAACGACAACTTGGAATGGCGAGGCCTCCTGCTCTGTTGGCATGCAGACACGAAAAGTCATCTGTGTGCGAGTCAACGTGGGCCAAGTGGGACCCAAAAAGTAAGGGCTTTAAAATGACAACAGTAAATTCTGTGATCAACCATGCAAGGATTGGCTTGGGCTTTCCCTGTTGCATGAAATGGAATGTTTTGATGCTTGTCATACCTGTCCTCAAGAGTAAGATTTGTTTGTTTTGAAAGTCGGCTGCTGTTAAGGCTGTAACAGCTTCACAATCTTGTACCTGGGATCCATAAATTCTGTCGAAATCTTTCTGCTTTATGGCAGCACTCACTTCTTTAGAAAGCTAGGGAGACGATGGAAGAAGTGCTTGCTGTAGAGTTTGGCTGTTCGATAAAGAGAGTACACAGAGTTCTAGCCCTGTAGGTCAACTATGATCTCTTAACTATCTGCAGGCAAGGGAAGCTGCCAATCTACCTTAATTGTGTTTGCCTTCTATGATCTGCCTTTCATTTTGCCTAGAAAATACTATATCAAAAACATTGAAGGTAAACTTATTCTATCTTTCAGTTGTTAAATGAATAAGCCATTTTCTGCTAAGAGAAAGCCTTGGGATAGCATGAAAGGGTTATGGTAGCTAGAAAAGCTTTCCGTTTCTCATGGTTGTTAAGAATACTGTGATAACTAGCCATACAGAGGGGAAAACAAAGAGCTGAAGAACTCATGTGCCTTGTCAGAACTGTAAAAATAAACAACTAGCAGCATTACTTGAATTAGCAATTACCAATTAGATTAATCAAAGTTGAAATTATATTCCTTTGATGGTTAGTAAACTCTATTCCACTACATTTAGATAACATATTTTTTAATCAAATCACCTAAACCACATGAAACACAGAAAGGGAAAACAATCAATTTTGCATAGGTATAAATGTGGCCTCATAGGTTCCAAAAACAAACAGCCAATTAGGAAAGTGTAAATGTTAGATGAGTTGACTAATTCTGACATTGATTTTCAAAATCTATTGCAAGTATTTAATGAAAAATTTACCAATGCAACACCCTATAAATATTAGGAATTGTTATTTTTTTTTTTAAGAATTGAAGAGGCTGGGAAGGTGGCTCAGTGGTAGAGTGCTTGCCTCACATGCATGAGGCCCTGGGTTTGATTCCTCAGCACCACATAAGCAGAAAAAAAGCCAGAAATGGCACCGTGGCTCAAGTGGTAGAGTGCTAGCCTTGAGCTGAAGAGCTGAGGGACAGTGCCCAGGCCCAGAGTTCAGACCCCACATCCGGACCACCCCCTACCTCTGCAAAAAAAAAAGAATTGAAGAGACTTAGTGTTCCATGGAAATGAAAGTAATTGATCTGAAGCATGGAAAATTCCAGTACAGGTAGGGGAGGTGGGGAGGGAAAAAGTAAATATGAATCTCATTAAGAGTTGTTTTTGTCTGGCTAGGGTTCCAGACTTAGAGCTATGTAACCCCATACTTTGTTTATATCATTTGAAGTTCAAAAACATACTAGAAAATATATACCAAATAGTTCCACATGCTTAATAGGTACCCACAAACTAACATTTTAATAGAACTTGTATATGGTTATGGTGAAATCTGTGTGTGCTGCATTAAAATTCAGTGAAGTAGCAGCAGAAATGAGCTCACCATGTCCAGAAGTGTCCTGGTGCTTGCTCAAATAACAGAGGTAGAAATACTGTGGAGCAGGATGAGTTTTTGCACCAATGTGGCAGTAAAATTCACCTTTTCTTTCTTCTTTTTCATTAATAAGTTTTTTTATTGTGAGAATACTGTACAGAGGAGGGGTTACTACATGAGCAAGGTAATGAGTACATTTCTTATCAAGCATTGTTGTCTCCTCCTTTGTTTTCAAAAATTGCTATTAATGTTTTCTTCTCTTAAACACAACTGGGTAATGGATATACATGTGTGCAATCCTATGTGTGAATAAGCCTACTGGATTTAAGATCATTCATTTTCCTAATGAAAGGCTCAAAGGTTCCACATTATACTCCACAATAATCATTCAGAATTTTCTTTGTCTCTATAGAAGTTTATTCAGTAACTTAAATATATCTATAGTTCAATTGAATTCCTAAAATTCTAGAAAATTAAGCCAAGTACTATGAATTCAAAGGAAACTATTATTACCCTTCTTCCTAAATGCTAGGTTAAATTCGCTGAATGTTTTCCAATGCTGGTCATCTGAAACAAAAATGCAAATAGAAACCTTGTTTTAAAGTCTTCTTAATAAAATAGATTACTGTGCAATGGTAAAATCAATGTTATCGATCTTATCTATCTTCCCAAGGAACAGACTTCAGCTCCTATCACGTCTGTTTAATTTGACCTTGAATAAGATTTGGGGGGGGAGAATCAATTCCTTGATTTAAAGCGCAAACACTAAATGCAAACAGTACAGAGGAGAAAAGTTGCTTGTTGACCGAACCAATTGCCTCACCAAAGGAAGTCTAAATTCATTTGATTGGATATAATCTAGGCTGTGTAATTTATCTTTGTGTGTTCACTTAATGACTTCGTTGTTAGTAATTTTGTTCTCCACAGTTAGCCAAGTATCTTGCTGGGGCTATTTCCAAACTAAAAGAATATTTAGAGGTTGTCAATGATAACATTATAAATTCCATTGATTAATTTCAGACTAGTCTTTGAAGAGCATGCAATTGAGTAATGCCCTCCCATTGTCAGAGTTATAAACCTCCTCATTGCAAAGGAGAGCTTTCAATAATAATTACTGACCAATAATTTCACAGTCCTTAAATAATTAACTGGATTTTATGTGAGATTTTTGCCCTATTTCCTGTTTGAACGATGCAAGGTTATTATAATTTCACTCATTTGAAATATAAATTACAATACATCAACCTCTATGGTTTATTTTTAAATTTCATCATTGGCTGAATAGTTATAGTACTGGGAAATTGCAAGCTTATCCTCAACATAAACTGGCAAGATTGTTTAAAAAATTTAAATCATATCTATCTTTAAATCTACTTCTAAATAAATCAGATTTTCATTTGTTTGTGTTTATTTCAGTACTGGAGCTTGAACTCCAGGTCTGGGTACTGGCCTTTCAGCTTTTTCACACAATGCTGGCACTCTACCACTTGAACCACAGCTCTGCTTTTGGCTTTTTGCTGGTTAACTGTAGATAAGAGTCTCATGAGCTTTCCTGCCTTGGCTGGCTTTGAAATGTGATCACCAAATCTTAGCCTTCTAAGTTGCTAGGATTACAAGCATGATGCTACCAGTACCCAGCCTGATTGTTATTAAAATAAGAGAGCAAGTATCTATACAATTGAATAGAATATGGTATTTGTATACAACAAAAGATATGTAGGCAAGTAATTAAAATAGAAGATACATTTGAAATCAATGTCAGGAAAGCACTATAAATTATGGAAGACTTATCCATGTGTTGATTTTGCTCACTCATACTTAAGTTCTGACTTATTTATTTACCAAAAAAATGTGACGTCCCATTTGAAATATTTTTATATCCTTTTTGCTACTGTCTTCCAATTTATATTAATTGACTTTTAATTTGATTTGTAGTTCTTCACATTTGTTCCCCAAAAAAAGCTGCTGCAATTTAAAGAAAGTATAGAATAACCCACCAAGTTGCAATAGGTTTAAAAATAATTAGATGTTCAAAAATTGAATCCTTAATCATTTGAATGTCAACATAATCACCAAAGAAAACATATTTTTGTTAATGGAGATATTATCAAGAGAAATGTATAATTGCTATACTTTCTTCTAGATAGCGTGACTGCTGTAATTAAACCTGCATATTTTGCTTGAGACACCTTATTGAGGTACAGGTTAAAATAATTAATTGAGTTGCATAGTTCTTCTTAAGAGCAGTAAAGCTCCCGGGAGTTAAATAATGTAGATGTGTAACCACTTTCCAACTTTCGCAATGAAAACCTGAGGAAAGTTGAGTGACCTGGTTTCTTGTCCTACAGAGAGCCAAACAGTGTCCCTTTGCTTTTCTAGGTGCCCTGAAAACCTTCGACCTGAGACCGTGAGGCCGTGTCTCCTTCCTTGTAGGAAGGACTGTATTGTGACTCCATATAGTGACTGGACACCATGCCCCTCCTCGTGCAAAAAAGGTACAGTCCGCAGAGATCTGAAGGCCCCGCAGATTCATCCAGTGGGGCTTCCTCATTCTCCTGGCTCTGAGCAATGTTTGTGATTTGGGGTAATCCCGGATTGACATGAATGCATTTTGGTTTCCATCTAGAAACAGCACTATTTTAGAGTGCCAGATAGGGGGTGAGTTTATGCCATTGAAATGTTATGAGATAATGAAAACATGTATAGAGGGCCCAGAAGCAAATATACACAAGCAAAATAACCAAAGTGTAGTGTATGCAGGCAAAGATTTCCTTGGTGATTCCTCTGATCAACTCACATGCAGTTTAATAAAATGAATACCAGAAAACTGAAATATGGTTTGTCCAAGTGTGCCCACGTAAAAGGGAGGTGAAGGCTGACAAATTGAGGAAGGCAGATGGGTGAATATAGTTGTAACATTCAGAGCAAGTGGAACCGGGTAACTTGAGGGGATGAATGGGATTGGAACAGGTGCGGGGACAGAATGATGGAATGGGAAGCATTAATCAAGAGGCATTGTATTGATAAACTGGTGTGTTGCATTAGAAAAAAAGAGAGAAATTATATGACATAGTTCAAATTGAAATGATTCTACACTTGATGAATATTTCTTATTTTCATTAATGCCGAATGAATGCACACTGGTGTTCTGACTCTTAGAAGGAATGTATACAGATTTTATCAGTACACAGGGCTATCAATGACAAGCTATAGCAGGGGCCAGGTTCACTATAGATTCAATGTGACCCTCAGGATTGACAATAAAGGAAAGAGAAAAAACGGCCATGTTGTCTCTCTGCTAACACTTACTGTGCCATGAGGCATTTACAAGATGAATATTTGTTCCCAATTTGGTTTTATTTTACTTTTACGACTTACAGACATAAACGTATCATGGCAGGTCTCTTGATAACTCTTTCGTTCCTCCAGGACAGGGCCTTTTCTCACTGCTTCTGAGAGAAAGATAAATACCCTTGGCATGATTTATGCAATAACTGAGCAAATCTTTTCTCATCGTCACAAATGACAGTCTCCTATTTCTCATTTTAATTTTCTGATCCATAGAGAGAACGCTTCTTCAGTTTTCTTCATGTTTTTATTTTGTTTATGCTTCTGGACTCCCATTTAGGGTGAGTCAATTAAGAATCAACTTCTAATTTAAGAAATAACTATTGCACCATTGCTAAAATTAATTTAAATTATTTATGTAGTATGAATTGAATAATAGATGGCTTTTATAGTGCAAATAGAATTTTGTAGAGTTGAAACACAAGTTAATTTGGGTTTGGGTTTGGGTTTTGAAACGTGGTCTCATCATCTAGTACAGGCAGTCCTGGAAATGTATTTGGAAATCTCCATTGCATTTGAAGAATCTTGGTAAGGTAAGAATTAAACTGCCAGTCTACAAAGAATGGGAAAGTGAAGTGTTTGAAGATAGCAGTATATTTACTGTTGGTAATAACAGAGCAGTAAATAATTGATACAAGATAGAAGAGAAAGTGATTGGATGGGAGTCTGTACAATTGTTCAGAATCCATTACCTTCAGTGGACTGATCATGTGGTTATCAATGATGCCAAAGTGATGATAGAGAAGGAAAAAGAAGGGATCACACTGAAACATGTTCTAAAGTCACTTAATTAAACCAATATCACAAGGTGATGAGCACCAGATATATAACTAATCATAAGACTGATGTGAGAAGCTTAGAGGAGTTGGCAGTTCTTTAAGGTAGAAGAAGGAGAAAAGAATCAGAAGCTAACTTCAAGTGGCAAAGCAAGCAAAGCTAAAAGATGAGAGACCATGCGTCCCAAATGAGTGAGAATGACAGGACTCTCGTGTAGATGGAGAGGACTGAGAAATTACATCCAGATTTGCATTCATGCCTGCAATGGTCCTGTCAGTCTGAGGATGAGGGAAGGCTTGGAGAGAGGAGGGCTTGATTCTTGTGGAGTAATAGAAAAGTGAAATATCATAGGTTTAGTCTGATTACTCTCTGGGAGAATTGGGAGAGGCAGGTCACTGTCACAAGTTAACATGAAGAGGGTCCCAGTTCCTGGGGAGGCTGAGGAAGGGGCACCAATTTTCAGGAATCTAGGCTCTCTGAGAGGTGGGTTTAGGCCAAATGAACCAGGAACTGATCAGTCCTGTTTTACTTGACAACACTAGAATATTAAGTCTCCTAGAACAGAGAGAAAATTTCAGAAACCTAAACCTAGGCAGATTTATAAGAGAGTATCTACAGTTTTGTATTGAGGAAATGAAAGAAGACCTGGGTGGTCATGGAATGAATGGGCTGTTGTTGCATAACAGTGCCAAGATGCTTTGTTCTCCCAGAGAAGCCTTTTCTGTTTTGCCCATAGCCTGCTGTGAGAGTGCACAAGGAAACAATGGTGTTATAGAAAGCTAGCTTTCTGTTGTGGAAAAGAAAAGAAAGCAGTGACATGAGGTTAATTTTCCCATTATTTGGCAAGAAATGGTAGTCATCCAAGTTTCATTGAAATTACACTGAGTTCTGCATTCAAGAAGTACAAAAAAACTAATTCAGGGTAGGCTGCTTCTTTTTAATTTAATTCTGAAGGTAACATGGAAAGTTTTTGCAAGAGCTTGTTAAAATGTGGAGCCACTTTGCTTTGTAAAATAACGTTAAGGATATAAAATTACACTATCGTACTGCAAAAAGAAAGTAACTGAATAACGTTGGATTCCAGGAAGAACTGAAGAAGAGTTACTTAAAATGTGATTTCTCCCTCTCCCCAGATAAGTCTTGAAAAACAGAAATCAATGCTGATAAAGATCAATTTGGGGTAGAATGTAGTTTGATCCTTAAACCAGAACCCTTCTCAATATTTTTAAATTTTTTTTCTAACTTTCATCAAATGGAACTTCAAACAATAGAAATAATTTATCCATACAAATTATTTGTAATCCTAATTTTGAACAAGACTTGCAATCAATCATATGTTTGGTTGTTCAACCTCCCTCCTCATCCCCTCTCTGCCTCTCTCCCTCTCTCCCTCTCTTTCTTCTTTTCTTTCCCTCTCTCCCTGGATTTATTGCCTTGGGAGCCAGAAAGAATGTTGTGAGAGCTATATTTTTCCCTCATCCACTGAATCAATGTTATGTTAGAATTATATCACACATTGAAAACTGTTTCGCATTTTGCGTCTTGTGTGTTGAACATTTTCCTTTCAAGTTCCTATCACTATGCTGCTCCTACCTGCCATTTGTCCAACTTCCAGCTCAACAAATCAGTTCATCTGCCCTTTAAATTTTTCCATCAAATAATTTCCTTGGTGAAATTTACTTTGAATGCCTTAAGATACCTGAAAAATGAGATTGTATACCCTCTGAATCTTTAGGGAGTACTTTTTGTGGCTAATGCTCTAGACACTAAAACACAAGAAGGACAAGTTTCCAAGTTTACCAAACTTACTGAATAACCGCTTGGTTTTCTTTTTAATGTGCATTGTAGCTTTCCCTTTGACAGTCTCTTAACTGGAAGCTCTACATCAAGACTGAGCATTATAGTGCATAAACAAGTTCTTAGCTCTGACCTGAAGAAACAGGCCTCCCAGAGGGTAGGAACATGGATGAACTGACTCTTGCTCTATAATCCCATTCAACTTTCTCTCTGGGCACATTTTGAAGTATTCCACTTCAATCAGGTCACAGTTTCTATCCTATAGGCTGAATGAGTTTAAAGAGTTAGAATGTTTTACAAGCGTAAGTGGATTGATACTGTGGGATCACTTAAGGAAGCGAAACTAGAGTTACAGTTACCTAGAGTATAAACTTGTGAAGTTCATGCTGAGGAAGTCTTAAAAGAATATTTCAGGGTTTATTTCAGAAGACATTTTTTGCATTCAGAGATAAAAGACTAAACAGAACTGAAACACCTAACATTCACTTGCTGCTTCCCAAACCAGAAGCTATGGTCTTTCAAGGCATCACAGATGCTTCACTCATTGTCCCTTCAAATCCCGAGGGACCTTGGTCTTAATCCTGTTGATAATTTGTATCTGGACTTTCAGAAGAGCTGGAGAATGATTGCTTCTGAAACTTCTGACCATCTGGGTAACAAAGGCCCATTGGTCTCTGTTTTTTTTCTACTTTTCCCTGCTTTCCTTTAAAAAATAACCTTCCTCCTTACCTCAAAGCTAAGCAAATTATAAGAGTGGTTATTTAGTTTGTATACTGTCTTTAAAAGATGAAAGATAAATCATAAACATAAAAGAAAAGAAAAATATGGAAATTATAGATGGAAGGTAGATCCAGGCAGTGACTAAACCAACCCAGATGCCCCTCAGTAGATGAATGGATCAAGAAAATGTGGTATATATACACAATGGAATTCCATACTTCCATTAGAAAGAATGGCATCGTCCCATTTGTTAGGAAATGGAAAGACTTGGAGAAAATTATATTAACTGAAGTAAGCCAGGCCCAAAGAAATATAGGTCCCATGGTTCCCCTTATTTGCAATAACTAGTAGAAAAACAGAAAAGATCAGATCAGATGATGTTAAGCGAATGAACCCTTCCTTGCTATTGTTTCTAACATATTTATAAGGTACCATGTGATTTTTTTGTTGCTTTGTGTGCCCCTCCCCCATGGTCTAACCCCTATTTTCACTGTATTTGATGTTGGTATACTTTGGGGAGGGGAAGGGAAAAAACAAAATGTTTAAATAAGGATACAGATGGACCTATTGCAACAACGAGATGTACAAGATGCTATGTCGAAAAACAAACTTTACAATTTGGGGAGGGGGTGGTGTTGAGGAGGTGGGAAGGACGGGATGGTAGGGGAAAAACAAAGGAGGTAACAATGCTGGATAAGAAATGTACTCATGGGGCTGGGAAGGTGGCTCAGTGGTAGAGCGCTTGCCTTGCATGCCTGAGGCCCTGGGTTCAATTCCCCAGCACCACATAAGCAAAAAGAAAAAAAGCCGGAAGTGGTGCTGTGGCTCAAGTGGTAGAGCGCTAGCCTTGAGCTGAAGAGCTGAGGGACAGCGCCCAGGCCCTGAGTTCAAGCCCCACTACCGGACCCCCCCCCAAAAAAAATAAAAAAGAAATGTACTCATTACCTTGCTGGTGTAACTGTAACCCCTGTGTACAGTATTTTCACAATAAAAAACTTATTTTTAAAAAAATCTCAGAAAAGGAAAAAGTGAAGAGGAAAGAAAAACAAGATTTTATAAGAAAATCAGTCATGATAAGTATCCAGTTGCAATTGAGAAAATTAGCTCTAAGTGTCTAATGACCAAAGCAAAAAAAAATAAAATAGAAGCATAACAGGTTCTTAAAATATTATCAAGGGAAACAAAACTTTTCCTAGCTTGGAATTATTCAAGGAATTTATCACCTGAGCTCTAAAATAGCACTTATTTAGACAAGATAATGCAGAATGCATTAGTAATTTACAAGTTCCTATTGACATTTCTTAGACAAATCATATTAAATATGCAAAAGTTGAAGCTTGCATTCAAACATCATTAAAATAAAGACTCCACAACTGCATTTTCAATTACCTTTAATACTTTGTTGCCAATAATTCCAGCCTCTAAATCCCTACTCCATTATTATAATATTCCAATTATTCATCAAAATAATTAATGTAATGATTAATAGTACAGTTTTTGTCCCACAATGAGAATGAGTCTAGCAAGTTATACGTGAATTCTAAATGTTAAACTGGGACAAGGAACACAGAACACGGGCCAGCTATTCCAGCAGATCCTGTGCTCTTATTCTCTCTTTTCTGGCTCCCCCGCTGTATTACCTGACAAGCTATTTTACATTCAAAAACTCATCTCTTAAAGATGAATACCGGATAAGAAATACCGGATATAGCCTAAGAAGTCTGTGGTTATTGTTGTTTTATAAGAGATTTTCTTGGGCAGTCAGGAATTTAAGAACACTAATATGAACTATTCTACTGTCAAATGCAGGAATTTTCTCAAAACATGGTTGAAATTTGAAGCATTTTCCTGTTCCTTGTAGTCTACAAGAAAATGTTAATGCTTTAGAAAAAGAATATAAATGCATCAAGAGTCCTGTTATCTACTAATATAATTCTTTAAGAAACTCTTTTATAAGTGAAATTACACTATATGGTTATTCGTCCTTTCAAGATATTTTTAAGTAGAAATATATTTTATTAGTGTTGGCAACTCCTACACATTTCTAATGTAAAATACTTTGAATATCTTCACATCATAAGCACTTCTGTCAAATTCTCATCTTTGTTGAAGGTAATTCTACTCCTTTCTATTTTGAAACATAACTTGGAGTTATTTATGTATCATAATGATTGCTATTTTAGATGTTTCTCTAAAAACATCTATCTCTAAAAGCAAAGCTCAGAGATAGATAAATGGTGCATATTTTCTCTCATTTGTGAAAGCTAGAGCTAAAATACAACTAAACATTCACGCAGTGAGACCAAAGGAGTATATTCTCAGAAGCAGACCAGAAAGGCTCAATAGCTGTGTGCATATGAGCATATAAAATGATGTTTCAAGAAATGGAAACAAGAGGTTTTATGTTATTTTGCTTTTCATTTGTTTGATTTCTCTTTTGACACTGTTTTTGCCTTCTGTATCTTTTGTCTTCTATGCAAGCTTATTGGTTTTGGTGAGGGTAAGGGAGAGCACAGAAATGATAGGACAAAAAGTGAACAAATGCAGCAGTGATATTAGACGCTACGTTATAAATGAACTATACAACTTTTGCAGGGAAGGGTTCAGGCGGGAAAAACTGGGAGAAAATGAGTGAAGAGGTGACACTATTCAAAACTAAATTTACTCATTACCTGACTTATGTAACTATAACCCCTCTGTACATCACCATTTTAATAACAATAAATATATATTATGTATATATATATATATAATACCCTAGGTATTAACACACACCAACAGTGAAGCTAAAGGAGGAACCCAAAGGCATAACTCCTCTGAACATTTAAAATACTACTTATTGAAATGAATTCCAGGTAAAGGAAACATAGGCTATTTTTGTTATTGGTAGTGGTGGTGGTGTTTGTTTTGGTTTTAGGTGGTTTCAATATTGTTTTTGTCCTTTGAAGGGAGGCAAAGTAGAGCTCAGAAATGGAGAAAGGAAGTGCGAACAAATGTAGTCATGGTGCTCAGTAAACACTATGTGGAAAAGTGAACTATGCAACTTGTGGACAGAACAGATGGAGGGGAAAGTAGGGGAAAGAGAAAGAAAGGGTGACATCCAAAAGGAAATGTACTCATTACCTGACTTATTAAACTGTAGCCCCTCTGTACAACACCTTGATAATAACAGTAAAATAATATATTTAAAAAATCTGTTGCTAAGCCAGGCACCAGTGGCTCACGCCTGTAATCCTAGCTATACAGGATGCTGAGAGCTAAGGATTGAAGCCAGCCTGGCAGGAAAGCCTTTGAGATTCTTATCTCCAATTAACCACAGAAAAAAGCCAGAAGTGGCACTGTAACTCAAGTGGTAGAGCACTAGCTTTGAGCAAAAGGAGCCCATGGACAGCACCCAGGCCCAGAGTTCAAAAAAATCTCTCCCTAATAAACTACTTTTGTATCATTGCATTAGATTCTTGATTTTTATTTAGATTTTGAATTGAAGACCCTAGACTATTTACAACGAATAACAAATGACTGGAATAACTTCAAGTTATACATTTCAAATGAAGTAGCTAGTTAAGAAATCAAATCTCACTTTATAACACTAAAAATATCCTTCGAGGGAGGATTCATTACACACGAGTGTGAGTTCCCTATAGTAATCATGCTATATGAAATGGCATGGAAAGACATGCAAAAGAGCAATGACTCCTAAGTGAATTTTAGAAAATCCAGTTGACTGTGGGACTGTTTTCTTCATCCTTTGCATGTTAAGCAATAAACCGATTGGGTTTTCCCAATCAATTCTCCACTAAAAGTGTCTTTGGGAACATTTAGTAAATGATTACACTAGTGAGGCCTCTCATTCAGGGATATCGAAGGCACATGTTACTGGAGGCGATGTAATGTCTTCATACAAACTGGTGTTTAGAGACTTTCTTTAATGCAAAGTACAGGGGTTAAAAATCACCTTATTCCAGGGGACTCCGGAGTCAGGAAGCAATCTCGGCATCGGGTCATCATTCAGCTGCCAGCCAATGGAGGGCGAGACTGCACAGATCCTCTCTATGAGGAGAAGGCCTGTGAGGTTCCTCAAGTGTGTCAGAGCTACAGGTAATACAGGAAAGTGATGCAAGTGAAGAACGGAGCAACACAGCCAGTCCACATTCTTTATGGGGAAAAGGAAGTGCTCCTTGTACCCACCCAGTGCATGCTTAGGATGGGGCTGTTGCTCAGCGCATGTTGGGGATGTTTATGTTATGGGGATGTTTCTCCATTTGGGAAAATTGCTCTGTTTCCGAAGTATCTCCAAGGAAGCAAATACTTATGTTTGTTTCACAGCTGTGTTATTAGAGAGAATGTCTGATGTTGATTCAAATCTACAGTACAGGAAATGCAGAAAAGTGTCTAATAATTATGATACACATACGCTTTAGGAAGCAATTTCTTTTCATGTAGGAGAATAGTCTAAGCATTTCTCTCCTGGATCTAAAAAGCATCTGTTTCTCATACATTTTAGCATTCTGGCTCAGGAAATAGCATAGCTATGTCCATGACGCTGGTAAGATGTCTGATATGTCCACCTGTGATCACTCAAAAGAAAAATTATACTCATTGAAGCTATGCAGCATCATGGTAATTTACTAGAAAAATGTAGTCTTCTCACAATTAAAAATGAAAATTACCAATTGAAGCTCTATGTTGAATGCAATTGCAATTCTGAAAACAAATACAATAGTGGGAAACGGATGCAAGTTATCACAAAATAACAATTTAAATAGAAATTGGTAGAACTTGCCATCTTAATACATCAGTCATTTATTTTGAGATGACAGTGGTATAATTGTATGTGAATAGCATGAGCATTATCAACTATTAGGTGAAACTTACTTTTAAAATTTGTTTTGGTTAAGATGACTTAACATCTGCAGAGAACCTGGCAACAATACCATTTTGTTCAACGCTATACAAAGTATTTTCATAATACCTTAATAAATATCTCATTCTCAAATAAAATAAAATAAAATTTAAAAAAAAAATAAATAAATAAATATCTCAATAAAATGTGTAGCTGTTCCCACTTATGTTATTAGCTCCAGTAATTTGTAAAAACAAAACAAAACAAAAACAAAACTCTGATGTTGACTTAAACTACAGGAAATGCAGATTTTCATAGTGTCTTAATGAATATCTCAATTAAACTCAGGACTACATATTCTTAAATAACCTCCTCTTTGAGTGGTCATAGTCATGTTTTTGTGTTGCTGTATCCCTGTGTGGCTTGCCTGACATTTCTGTTCTTCTGTAGTGAGCTTCTGTTCTTTTCTTGTAGGTGGAAGACTCACAAATGGCGCCGATGCCAATTAGTCCCTTGGAGTGTGCAACAGGTCATCCCTGGAGCACAGGAAGGCTGTGGGCCTGGACGACAGGCCAGAGGTGGGAGGCTCCATGCTGTACTTGGTTTACTTTCAACTTCTCTACAATCTCTGTTTTAACCACTACCTTCAGGTCTTTGTCAGTTTGGCACCAGACTTAAAAAAACAGAGCAGATAGGAATCCACTGTGACCCATTCTACAAAACATTAGGACATAGAGACTCATTTTTTAAATTTTTGTTCTTTGGCATAATAACTTAGTTCTTTTTAGTGCTTCTTTCTAACAGCATCGTATCTGGTATGCGGAGCCAAGTGTCGTGTCTTGTCTTTTGAATTTATTCTGTATGCACTGACAGATAAAATACTGCTTTCATCAGGTACTTCTTCCTAATACTTGTCAAACAAGGCCAAAAATGCAAATCCTGATATTTATAGCTCTCCAAAAATCCATCCCAGGCACTCCCACATCTCCAGAGCCACAATCTACTCACTTTTCTGTGAACAGTATCTGTAGACTTCCCTACCTCAAACGCTATGCTCCATTTATTGAAGTGATCTCATTTTGTATATTTTTTCCTTTCTACTTAACCTAATAAATAGAACAAGTCAGTTTCTAGTCTTTAAGCCTTGCTTCATTTCATTAGCTTCAAATGATTGGTTTTGCAACTGATTAAAATTTTAGTCTTTAACTCTTATTTGTTAACAATCGTCTCATTTCCATAACAAATGTAAGCTCCCTGATTTAAACATACACATTCTATTATAACACTCCTAGTTCTTTGCCTTCTCAATGCAATCACAGGAGAATGTACACCTGGAATTAGAAGGTCTCAGAGAAGACAGGGATATCCATTCTATCATCTTTGCTGACTGATTCTAAAAATTATCAAGGCTGTTAATATTATTTCAAACTAAATTTTATATTTGAAATAAAGATTTCAAATATGAGAAATAAGAAAAATAGCATCTTTAAAAATAGAGAATACATTTTCTCCAAATAAAAAGCGTTCTTCCATCATAAATGGTGTCCCAGATCAAATCAACAGATAGTTAATTTCTTATGGTAGGAAATACACATGATTTGAGTTTCAAGGCATCTTATATAATGCATTACTAATAGTATATATGGTCAGTAAACACTAGAGAAATGGGAAAAGATGAAAAGAGTTAGCCACTTAATAAGGCACAGTAAAAGAGAAATGATATTTATATACAGAATGAATCAATCAAAATAACAAGAAATAAAAATCTGTGTACTTGGAAGAAGTACACTGATGGATTTTCCCAGAATTCCTATGAATGTGTTAAGAACAAGGGTCTATATTCTGGGGAAAATTGAATACCAGAAAAATAAGAAGAAATGATGTTTTTCAAAAGGAAAATAGAAGTAGTGAAAATATTACTAAGACTTTATGTACTGTCACAATATAATATAGCAAATTTCATCTAATGGTATAAGACTAAAATTAAGAGGACAGAAAAAGATTTTAAAGAAGGAACAAATAAGATTTAACAGGTCTAATATTTGGTTTATATTATTCAAGTCACTTGTGCATGAATATTTAATACAACTGTAACTGTATTGTCTTTCCCCTTGATTCTGATTTTCTACAGTTTAGATAGCATTTGGAATACCAAATTCTTGCTTGATGGGTGATTATATGGCTATAGATAGAGTATCATTGCATTAGCTTTCAATAACACATATGTCCCATAACAATTACAATTTGGACTAATCTAAATCAGAGTCCTAGGGGCTGGGGGTTTTGCTCAGCGCAGGAGTTCCTGTCTGGTGAGCACAGGGCTCTGAGTTCGGTCCTCAGCTCCGGAAAAAAAAAGTTATAAAAGATCAAAAAAACAAGACAACCAAATCAGATGCCTAGCCTCTCACCTTTCTCTCTTGACCGTGTCTCTTTTATATGAAAAGATTTCATTTAAATATTAATTCAAATTAGCTCTTTCTCAATTTCTCTTTTTATCCTCATGCAATCTCCTGCCATGAGTACTCCGGAAGCTAATATAGAACCAAAGTGAAGAGAGTTAATAATCCCTGGAGTCAGCATGACCCAGCCTAGCCCCTGGCCTCCTTTATACTCTTGCCACCTATGTCCTGTACTAAGATGTGATAGCAGTCTTTTTCTGTAATGAAGTCTCTTTAATTTGGATGTATTCTCAAATCTAAAATACTTCAATAATATGCCTCACATAGCAAGATTCTCCTTGCCTAGAAGTGCTTATCTCATATCACTTATTAACTTAAAATGCTATAAAAGAAAATGAAGAAAAGAAAAAGAGAGGTCAACAAAGAAGGAAGGAAGAAAGGGAAGGAAGGAAGTAAGGAAGGAGGGAGAGTGGGAGGCAGGGAGGGAAGGAAAGGGAGGGAGGTAGGGAGGGGAGGGAACGGAGGTAAGGGGAGGGGAGGGGAGGAGAGGGAAGAGTGAGGGAAGGAAGGAGGTACGGGAAGGAAGAGGGAGAGAGGGCTGAATTCTCCATCTTTCAAAATTAATGAAAATGATTATGGCATTTAGATTATATTTAGATTTTTAGATTATTTTTAGATATTTAGATTATATTTAGATTATATTTTAGATTGTATTTAGATATTTAGATTATAGCATTTAACTACATTTTAGGATACTTTTTATGGGAAATAGGCTTAAAACTTAGTTTTAAATTAAGTGATTTAGTCTGTACTGGTACCATTGTATCATCTTTTACTTAATCTCAGACCCACCATTCTTTTCAGAAAACTAGATGTTTAATTAAAGTTAGGCCCCAAATATCTGAGTCAATTTATCTCAGCAATACTCATTAATCTGTTAATTTTCAGAGATAGAACTCTGTAATAATAAGCAAAAATATTTAAGCAAAAACAGAATTAAACAGAACAGATAGCAGGGGCTTTGTTTTATAGAAAATTTAGACTTAATGATCATTAAAATCTTCTTTTGGCTAACATGTTTATTAGCTGTTACCTAGATTTTGTCATTTTCACTTTTATAAAGTGCCATTTAAAACTTCCACCAAAACAGCTTAATATGTTCTAGTTATATAAGCATCCTATTTGCTTTGAGATGTTTTTAACTTTTTTTCTTTCTCTCCAAGAGTCTTGAATATAATGTTTATTAGTAGTTGCCATTTTAAAATAGTAGCCTAGTAACTCATAAAATAAGCTTGGCACCACACTGTGTCTGCAATGGCTCTACAAACCCCATGCTGTCATTGGAGCCTGCCAGTATCCCAGCTGCACACTAGCTGACCTTGATCTGAGCCACTCCAGTGGGAGCTGATTATGATTTCCTAGAAGGTTATACTAGCATTTTCACATATATTACTAGCATCAATGAGACTGGGGAATCATTGGTAACTATTGAAGAGCAAGGAGAAAATAAAGTACATTCTACCAGACTTACAAAACATTCTCAAATTATAATTATGAGGTGTGATTTAGCAAATGTGTCAGTGAAACTCTTTCATACAAGAAAGATCATTTATATCCACCTAGTAAATACTGCACTCCTCTTGCATTATTTATAGATCTGGTCTTATTTCTAAGCACAATTAGGTCTCTTGGCAGCTAGATTTCCTTCAATTTAAGTTTTCTCTTTTTCATTTCTACCTAATTTATTCTATTATCTTTTTCATAAAACTATGGGGAAAGTTCACCCATCTAATCACCCAGTCAGGTTAGCCAAATAGATTGTCTCCAAAGCTATGTAGACATGGTTTCAGTGGAATGAACCATGTTTATGTTTCTAGGTTTAACTGTTATGTTTCTAAATTTAAATACAGTTTCTGAACTCCTTGAACTCTGTTAAACAGAACCCAACAGCTTTTGCTGCATTAAGACATTGATCTTATCCTGTAGGAACTTCTACATGTGCATTTTGGATCTGGCAATTTATTTCATTCTGACTTTCAAACAAAATGGAAGCAAAACCTTATATCATGAAGAATTATCCACTGACAAGTCACTCTTTTGTTGTGCAAACTCAATAATAAGGGGATTTATTACTCTTCAGTAAAAGGATGATGAATAGCTGTAATGAATTATATTAGTTACTTCAGGGCTATATTAGGAGCCTCCCATCCACATTCCCAGACAAAGCCTAAGGCTCACTCCGTACCAGCTACTCCCTTTTATCCCAGGAACTTTTAGTATTTTCCAATTTAGAACATTCTTCAAAGCTGGAGATATGGCTCAAGTGGTAGAGCATTGCCTAACAAATAAGCTGAGAAAATGTAAAGCCCAAGTTCAAGCCCCAATACCAAACAAAACATAAAAAATGAAAATAAATAAAACATACTTACATAAAAGCATTTTACAGCTGACTCTGCTTACTCAACTTATTAATCTTTGCCATTTAAATTTTTGGAAGGTTTCTAAAATAAATAAAAGTAATCACAGAGTTTCAGGAATGTCTAGCAAGCAGGTAACCCTGAATTCAAATTCTACTATTGTCAAAAAATTAAATACATAATAAATTAGTAAATAGGTGGGCTGGGAAGGTGGCTCAGTGGTAGAGCGCTTGCCTTGCATGCATGAGGCCCTAGGTTCGATTCCTCAGTACCACATAAGAAAAAAAGCCAGAAGTGGCTCTGTGGCTCAAGTGGTAGAGTGCTAGCCTTGAGCTGAAGAGCTGCGGGACAGCGCCCGGGCCCAAAGTTTAGGCCCCACGAGTGGACCCAAAAAAAATTAGTCTAGAGAGGCTAATATGAATATTACTAGTGAAATTATCATTTTAAATTTGTTGCCATCCTTTTGAATCACAACACCCTTTACTATGCTCTTCAAATAAGTTTTGCTAGAGTATTTCAGAGTAACTCCTGGTTAAAGGATATATCATCCACAAACACTTTTTTTTCTTTTAACATGACAATCATAATTGTCACAGTAAACAAAATAAACAGTCCATATTGTCTAAAATTTAAGCCATGGTAAATTTTCTCTTGTCACAACAATGTGTACACACAATCGATTTGTTCAAATTAAAGTCTTAAAAAGTCTCCAAATTCTCCTTGATGCTGTAATTGTCAGCCATTTATAACAGTTTGAACTAACTTTCTCATAGCATTTATTTGCTAAAGAAGCTGGCTTTCTTACTTATCTGTATGTATTTTTTTTCATTATTGATGCTTGCCTGATGTGACTCATTTGTAACCCAGAAGTTAGTTTCAATGATGCCCCTACGTTTCCAGCCTATTCTATGACATAGCTAAAAGTTGTTATGCCTGATAAAAAAAAATATAAATGAAAAAAATGTATACAATCAGTTGAATATGGAATTTCCTTTGAAGTAATTAGCTTGAGAGTTGCTGATCTCACTAAGAAGCTTTCTTGGTCCATTCCAATACACAACATAAGCTGTGGCCCAGCTTGCTTGATAAGGTCTCAACTCAAAGGATGACTTGTATAATCTTTATACCTGCAAATACAGATACCATTGTCTGGATATATGAAGCTTTCTAGTGCGCTAAGAACCTGTGCTTAATATGACCCATCTTTTCTTATTTATTTGTTTTTACCTTTTAAAATGAACTTAATTTTGGAATATTAAAGTTACAGAAAGTTGTGGAATACTATAGGGAGTCCTTTTTTTAATTTAAATTCGATTGTAAAGGTGACGTACAGAGGGGTTACAGTTACTTAAGTAATGAGTACATTTCTTTTCGAACAATATTACCCCCTCCCTCATTTCCCCCACCCTTGCTCCCTTCCCTGCTAAGTTGTAAAATTCATTTCCAACATAGTGTCTCACAAATATCTCTGTTGAATTGGTTCACCCTTAGTCCCACTGTTTCTGTGATTCTGTAGGGAGTTCTCATTCACTATTTTCCCCACATCCTATCAGGCTAATATCTTACCTAGCACATACTGTACATGTGTTACAAAAAAATCATCAACCAAACTCTGTTACTCTTAACTAATTTCCAGAATGTTTGGATATCTAGGTATTTCCATTAACATTCTTCGTGTGATCCATGGTCAAATTTAAGGACACCACATTTCATTCAGCTATTTCGTCTCTTTAGTTGTCTTGGGGTGGTCTATCCATTTAGTGGCTAAAACAACTGTTTTCAGCATATTAAAATGAATTTTAGGATTTATGAATTTAAAAAACCAGAGGGCTCCCTTTCCAAACATTTATATCATCTTCTTCACCCAGCAGCAGGAAGTTCATTTCAGATTCCATTTGTATTTGAATTGCTGTTTCCTCTCACAATACAAACAAGTTGAGATGTATGATAAAATTTTAATACATTGTACAAATGGTGCTGTGGCTCCTTGTTTGGATAACACTGTGTGAATGATTTGTTCCAAAAGTACACTGTCAAAAAAGTGAGATAAGGAGACTGGACGGTTGCCTGGGTTTGCAGAACAGATACGGGAATTTTCTGTTCTTGACATTTTTATATGTTTTTCTTTTCCACTAAGCTGAAGTACTTAAGATTTTAGGCAATGCAGGTATATGTAGGCTAAAAGAGATGTGTGAGGTTTGTGAATAGTATAGTTTTGCTTAAGATTGTTTTTTCCTGGAATACTTTTGGCAGTAATGTTATTTTATTTTTTCACTTTTAACACCATTATTTTATTTTTCGCCCTTGATGTCTTACTAATGTGTTAATAAGGACAAATATGAAATAAAAATGGTTTTCATTCAGTCCCTGTATATGTCCCTATGATGCTCCCTACAAAAGAGCAACAGCTCTAAAAGTTTAGAGCTTCATACATGTGACTGTTTGCCAAAGGTTGGTGTGGGACACAATGGACTGGCCACCAGAGAACTTTCTATCTTAGCCACAAGCCTCAGCCAGAACACTCCCTCTGCCTTTAATCCTCAAGCTAACGGGTCTCAAACATGAATTCTCAAATGGGTTACTTAAGCAGCTTAAAAATACTCATTTCTTAGCCCCATGACAGGAACCTTATCTGGGAGCTCTGTTTTTGTTTGTTTGGCGGTCGTGGGGCCTGAACTCTGGGCCTGGGTGCTGCCCCTCAGCTCTTCAGCTCAAGGCTAATGCTCCTCCACTTGAGCCACAGAGCCACTTCCAGCTTTTTCTGCTCATGTGGTGCTGAGGAATTGAACCCAGGGCCTCATGGGTGCAAGGCAAGCACTCTACCATTGAGCCACCTTCCCAACCCTCTGGGAGCTCTGGATAGGTCCAAACATCATGTTCCATAGCATTCTAAGTAATATGATGCAAATGAACCACTCTGAATCATCAGAGGGCTTTACAAAGATCTAATGCCCAGTCCCTTGTCCTTAGCCAATGAAATCATGGGAGAGTATTAACTTGCATTTTCACAAATAACAAAGACCTGTTCACTGCAACTGTTCCTACAGCCACTACATCCAGTCATGTTCACCTATACAAAGAACATCTTTCCTGGCTCAAATTGTCACCTTTGTCCTTTCCACACCTCATTACACAGTGGTTCTACTAGCTGTTAGGTTTCAGTTCACAGGTGCAAGGCCTGTAGTCTAACTCAAGGAGGGGGAGGGATGCTTCTGTGACCTCACTGTGATTTAGGGCACGCATGTCGGGCCCCTTCCATTAATTTCAGGATGATGAAATCCTGAGCAAGGTTGACAAGTAGTGGTTTCAGCCTCAACAGTAAACATGAAAAATGCCATAAATGTTGGTCCAAATGAGGATATGAAGATTTAAATTTAGGATTGCAGCTTAGATGTTTCATCCGCTTGCTCTGAATGAGTGGATTATTTTTATAACCAATGGAAGAAGCAGCAGAGGCAGAAAGGAGACTATAAACATCCCTTACTCTTTCTTTAAGACCTGCTACCTTAAAGCAATGTTTATATCTTTGTTCAGTAAAAAATGAAACCATACTGTGTTTTAAATGATTTACATCGATATCTTAGAAGAAATAATATGTGGATGGAAAACATATGCTCATTTTCAGAGCATATGTATGCATATATGCATATATAAAATGGTAGAAATTCTAATAATGATGTTATAAATTGGTATTAAAGGAAATTGAAGCTGATTATTAGAAACTCAGAACATATATAGAACATATATATGTACATAATAAAAATTCATCTGTAAATATATTCCACTAGCGAAATGAATTAATATCTTAATAGGAACTAGTATAATCTGCTTAGTCTGTGTATGAATGTGTGTGTATGTGTGTGTATGCATTTTGCTTTTCTGTGTCACAAAAACCAATGAAGACTGTGCATTATTTTTATAAAAATTTACAAGATCAGTATAATGTCTTCTGTGATTATAAAAAATTCTTCTGCTATATTTCTACCATAAATAGAGGATTTCAAGAGGGTTCCTGCACTGTTTGAATAAAGGTTAGTTGATTTCTAACTGATAGAGTAATAGACTATGCATTTCTTCTAGCCATTACTTGTCGAAAACAAGATGGAGGGCAAGCTAGCATCCACGAATGTCTCCAGTATGCGGGCCCTGTGCCAGCTCTGACCCAAGCTTGCCAGATCCCCTGCCAAGATGACTGTCAATTTACCAGCTGGTCCAAGTTTTCTTCCTGCAATGGAGACTGTGGTGCAGTTAGGACCAGAAAGCGCACCATCGTTGGTAAGAATAATCAGGATGCCAAAGCCAACACAATGAAATTCAGACCAAGAGAGTTTCAACAGATTATTTGAAAACTGTCTTACTGTGGCAGTTCTTGTACTGAAGATATCAATAGATTTGGATGTGTATTTTAACATAAGATGGCAATGATAGAAACATTATGTCATTTTAGTAGGAGAAAAGGCAGCCTATGCCCGATACAATAAATAATCACTATTATTTTTGTTTAGATGAGCTTTTTGTGAATTTTCTAGACTCTTTGAAGTTATTGGAGCAAAGAGAAGAGGCCCCATTAAGTAACCATTCTCACTGTCATGGGGTGAAGTTGCCATTGCATGCACTTGCTCTCTCTCTCGCTCTCTCGCTCTCGCTCTCTCGCTCTCTCTCACTTTCTCTCTCTGTGTCTCTCTCTCTTGCTCTGGCTCTCGCTCTCTCGCTCTTGCTCTCTCTCTCTCTTGCGTCTCTCTGTCTTTGAAGAAGTAGTTAGCTCTGAATCTAAAGTTATCTGTATTAAAATTAGCTCTGTATCTACATGTAAAAAAAAAGAAAGCTACAGTGACCAAATGAAAAAAACAGGAGACCTTATGCTGAATTAAATTCAGATACAACTAAAAATATTGTCAGTAGAAATATTGATGCTAGTAGATTGCTCAGACTTGAAAGCTTTCTAAAACTGAACCACCCATAAGAAGAAAATGAGTGAAAATGACATAACTAAGCCTATGAAGATTATAGGTAAGTAATATGATTAAGTATAGTTATTAAAGAACATATTACATATTAAGCTAAATACAGCATAATTATGTTTTTCAAGCATATATATGACATTTTATTTAAGAAGGAATTTGTTGAGATTATTATTTTTAAGTAGTTGTACAACAGAGTTGCCATTCAATAAATCAGTTTATGAATACAATGAGTTTTGATCATTGTCTTTCAACATTCTCACTCATCCTTCCCAACCCACCCCTTCCCTCAGTTTTCTTAATTTTGTAGGATATACATCGAATTTTTGACTACATTCTGCTCACTTCATCTCTTCATTTTTCTACCCCAACCCCTTTTACATTCAATATATTTTAAATATTTTACCCTTTAATATCATTGTTTATGGTATTATTGACATTTCTTAGGCTAATAATCAACTATAAAAAATGTATTGCTCTTCAGAAATTTGGAAAGATATAAAATCACAATGAAAGAAGTTCAAAAAAATCTATATTCACAATTATAATCCTATGTAACTACAGGATGACTATATAACAGAACCATTCTATTTGCAATCAGCAAGAAACTGTGCAGCACAGGGAAGTAGCTGTCTCTCCCTACCTCATATTTTATGCAGTTTATGCAGTTAGTTCAAACCCTCCCTACAGAACAGGAAACATACGACCCAGTTTGAGGATTTTAATCATTTCAGAGTGCAAAATTGAAAACAATTGTTCCAATAGCAAATAGCAAAATGAGCTATTTTTAAAAATAAGGAAATTATCACCATGGAAAACAGCCAATACAAACAAAACTTTATTTTAAAACATGCTTTGGAGTGAGAAAATTAGCATTTATTTATAAACTACTCTTAAATGTGATTTAAAAAAAAAAACAGAGAAAGTAAGTTGAAGAAAGTATATAATTTAGGAATGTTCTATATCGATAATGCTGTTTTCTGATATAAATTATCTGGTGTTTCTCTTCCTACAGGCAAAAGTAAAAAGAAGGAAAAGTGTAAAAATCCCCAGTTGTATCCCCTGATTGAGACTCAGTACTGTCCTTGTGACAGTCACACTCTCCAGCCAGTGGGGAACTGGTCGGATTGTATTTTACCAGAAGGGAAGGTGGAAGTCCTGCTGGGAATGAAAGTCCAAGGCGATGTCAAAGAATGTGGACAAGGGTATCGCTACCAAGCAATGGCGTGCTACGATCAAAATGGCAGGCTTGTGGAAACATCCAGATGTAACAGCCATGGTAATCCAATGTTGCTTTCATGTTTCCTGTTTGCTATCTTTGGGACGTAAAATGCCTATGTGTCAAGAGGGGAAATGGAAGTTTACAGAAGTTTCTGTAGTAGGAGAAAATCCTTTAGAGTGTGTCTACCTGAATCAGAGATATCATGTCTCAGCAAACACTGAAGCATGATCTCCTACTTCTTTGATAGAGGTGACCAAGAAAGGATGAGCTAAATTGCTAGGAACAAGGTCAATGGCAATTAGGCTCCAACCTTGCTGAAATAGCTTCCTCTACTAGACCAGAACTGAGCTAGTTTTGCTATATGGTACAGAAAACAACACAAGCTAAAAGACCTTCTTACACTGATAAACCGTCAAGAAATCATGGTGACACATTTATTAGAATCTCTTAAACCTCTTCCTATAAAGAGGTTTCTAAAAGCTTTGTCCTTCTTTATACCCTTAACAATGATAAACCCTAAAGACTCCATAATACTTAAGCTCCTAATATTTTCCAGGTTAATATAAGGGAATCATTAAGTCAAAAACGTTCTCATGTACTTAGAAGAATATCTATGAGAGATAAAGCTTAGTATTTGTAATTGGCATACTTTTTTTGAGAAACATCACTAAAAGTAACTGAATATTCTCTGCATCAGATAATAGAGATACTATCAACTAGATACTACAATTGTAAATGACCTTCCTATTTTAGGGTGTTAATTTTTTAAAACATTACAATAAAATATGTAAAATCAAAGATCATCTAACAATACATATTTTTGGAAAACCACAGTAATTGATCACATTTAACTTGTTACGTATAGTAAGACACTAAAATACCATTTTTTATTTTTTTATTGTTATTATGAAGGTGATATACTGCCAGGCACCAGTGGCTCATATCTGTAATCCTGACTACTCAAGAGGCTGATCTCTGAGGATTACAATTCAAACCCAGCCTGGGCAGGAAATTTCATGACACTCTTATCTCTAATAAACTACTCAAAAAAGCTGGAAATGGCACTGTGGCTCCAGTGGTATAGTATTCACCTTGAGCAAAAGAAGCTCGGGGACAGTGCCCAGGTCCTGTGATGTATAAAAAAGTTATGGTTATATGATTCAGATAATGAGTATACCATTTGTTTTTAATATTACCTGTGAGCTTCTAGAACATCTTGCATATATATTTTTACCTTTACCCTAATCTACTATTAAACATGAGAGAGCTTCTATAAAAATAGTAAATCTGATTTTTAGAAGAAAAAAATAGCTTTGAAAATTCTTCCTCCAGTAAAAATATTGGATCACTTAAAATAAAACAAGTGCAAAATCAATGGAAATTTACCAAGAGCAGTACACTTCCTACCTTAGTATTATCAAGACAAAGCATGAAAAATAAAGTACTATATTCTAGGGAAAGGTACAGATAAAAATAAATAAATAAATAAATGGATGTTGATGGGTTCTAACTTCATGAGGACTGTGAAAGGATCTAAGAAAGACACTTAGTGCTACATTCCAATTTAGTTACTTTATATGTCCTGTATCATCTTGTCTTCTTAATTAGATCTATGATGGACTGCCCAATGGGAATGCTTAGTGTTTACTAACATTTATTTAAAGTCTGGGGAAATGTAATCTCTATTGACTATTCTTTGACAATTACTACTTTTCTTAAATGTGTTCTGTCAATTTTGGTGGTGTTTATGCAGTGCTATAACTTTGCTACATTGTAGTAGACTTGCTATAAATTGCAATCTCAGTAACAGCTGCCTTTTCCTAGGCACATCAGCTTTCTAGATAGATGGAGTTTTAAGTGGTTTTAGAGCAAACCTATCTTTCTACTTTCAATTTAGATATAAAATTGATCCCCACATGTATGCAGAGCAATAACACTAATTCCCTATTCAACATTGGCCTCAGGGCTTATCTGTTTAATCATTGTTGTCTGTCTGTGAATCATGTTACCAGTAATTACACTGATAATGCAATTTGACTTCCACCAGTTTAATAGTATATTATTTTAGATTATTTCCCATGTGGTCAACTTTTCCTTAATGTCTTACACTTAGGGCATGATTTTTGTATAATAGCTTGAATTTTCTCTTAACAGTAGGTCCTATACTACGCAATATTTCAGATTTAAGATATACCTTAACAGTTATATAAAATGTTCATCATCCTTTTATATGGCATAAAATATTTTTACAGTACAAATGTTTATATACATATATTTGGAGACATTTATCGATCCAAAAACACAAATTATTATATTTGCAATGAAATCTTGAATAGTATAACAATAACAATAGATATGAAATCACACACTTCTTACTCACAGCTAGATCTTGACTTGCTGATTCATTAGAAATTTAACAAGTGCGTAGACACACACAGTACTAAATATTTAAGTTAATCTCCCTTAAAAATTTCAGAATGAGGAAGAGAATTCCTGAAAGTATAGAAATATATATTATTTAATCTCAGAGTTCACAGACTCTTAGAAGTAATCTAGTTTATTCAAAATATATGTACCCAAGGTTTCTATAAACATGATAGAACTTTGTCACTAATCCAGACAGGCATTCCCAAATACTCCTATGCTGCTCTGCTTTCTCAATTTTTGGTGATATTTCTAAAACAGATGATCCCAATATAAAAATTATTTTTACATTTATTTTTCTTTTTCTTTACAATGCAATAATGGAGGTTTATGAGGATATCTGTGCTATTCACTAATGTATCCTAAGCACAGTAAGTGTTTGTAGGATATATAAATGAATGAAATGCTGGAGAGAACGTTTTCTCCTACAAGAATTTTTGAATCCTAATAGGATTGTAGTGGACCAGGCTAAGGTACTTTCTTTCTCTTCAGGAGCCTTAAAGCACAAGTAAAAACTGCACGTGCCACAAAGTTTCCATATGATAGTGAGAAAATATTCAGGTTTTTTTCTACTTACTAATTCAATCACTTTTGACCAGGGAACTTTGATAAGGTAACAAAAGAACTATCATTTTTGATAGTCACAAACTTGTTCTACTAAATTCAATCAATGATACACATAGCATGAAGGTTTTTTTGTTGTTGTTACCTATTCAAATTGATTGATTTGCCCACTGGATTTGGACAATAATGTAGACCTCTTGGTCTATATTACTATTGTGACAACTTGCACTTTGAAAACTGTTTACAACTTTAATTGGAGTTTGATGCATTCACTTTCTTTGTTTTTACTCACTTTCTGTGTGAAAATAAGGAATAACAACTCTATTTATCTTACCTGAATGAAATACTCTATTTATCTTACCTGAAAGAGATAATAGATAAAATAAAAAACTACTAGATGTTCTAATCTTCAGCTCTATTAGCCACATAATACCTTCCAGACAATACTCTTCAAGTTTCCTTTCAGGAAATTTTTCTTTGCTAGTTCCTATAAGCCACTTAAGCCATAATACACAATCAGTAAACACTGTAATATAAAGCAAACTCAGTTGTACTTGTGATGTCAAATCATCTGTTAATATCAAGAGAAGAACCCAAAGGGTCCTGATAATTTTTCTTCTTCAGCACACATTGTTTAATATGTACAACTCCCCTATACCCAAAAACCATAATATAGCTGTTGATAACATCAAATACTTGCCAACACTGAGACCATGAGGAGACCAAAGCATTAGCTATTCAGTTAAATTACTTTTCACCAAGAAGTTCCTAAAGATCCAAATTACAGATTGTCTTAAGCTTTATGGGGCACAATGTCTTTGTCATAATTACTCAGCTTTCTAAAGTTAACATGGAAGAAGCCCAGAACAACCTGTAAGAAAACAGGCATGGCTGTGTACCAATAAAACTTTACCTATGCAATCTGCCATCCTGAGCTACTGTTGGGCAATGGCATCTAACCTGTGTGATCTTCAGACAAACAGTATGAGGGTCAATGAGAAACAGTGCTCAGAAATATTGAAAGAGACTCCATTGCAGACCTGTTGAGTCAGCAACTGCATGTCAGCAAGGCCTCCAGGGGTTCTACTGCATGTTTATAGTGGGGAAATCTCTGCATTGGATCACACAACTGTTCACAGTGCAGAGGAGCAGTAGGAGAGACAAAGTCTGTGGCTGCGATATCTTGGGCTAAGCAATCCACATCTCCTTCCAATAGTTTACTGATTACTAGTGATAGAGACTTCTGATATTTATATTGAAAAAATGGGTCAACAGCTGGGCACCAGTGGCTTACACCTGTAATCCTAGCTACTCAGAATGCTGAAATCTCAGAGTCGTGGTTCAAAGCCAGCCTGGACAGGAAAGTCCATGAGACTCTTATCTCCAATTATCAACAAGAAAACTGGAAGTAGAGCTGTGGTTGAAGTGGTAGAGCACTAGCCTTGCGCTGAAGAGCACAGAGACAGCACCCAGGCCCAGGGTTCAAGTTCCAGGATGAACACACACACACACACACACACACACACACACACACACACACACACATCATAATAAGGTGAAAAGTGGTGGTGACAGAATTGGGGTTTGAACTCAGGTCTTTGAACTTGCTGGGCAGGTACTCCTACCACACATTACCACCAGAATCCATTCCTGCTTTTTGCTCTTTATTTTTGAGATATAGTCTTGCTTCTTACTGGGCCACTTATCTCATATTGGCCTATATTGGACTTTCTGTCATAGCTAGAACAAGCACAGAACACGCAGCTCTTCACTCAAAAGAGCTGAGGATTCACTTCAGAGGGCAAAAAATGGGAAATGTAGAGGATTAGTTCTTCTCTTGCAATGAATAGTAGCATGAATATAAAATATTCTAGTGCCCTTACATCTTTTGTTCATCAAGGTTTATGACCCTCATGTTACATATTAAATGCTGAATAGAAAATTTGTTGTGAACACTGCAGAATAATCAAAGCCCTATCCAGACTTGTCCTTTTGTAAACAACCATATTTTACTGAAGGAATTACAAACTAATTGAACCTTAATCAATAATATCCCTCCATGTTTTCCA